TTGTGACCGATACCAAGTACATTCCTTCGTGGAGTGCCTTGGGCCCTCCACGTTCTACAAGTTGAGAGTTTTTGTTTGAATGCCTTCGTGATTGAGTACTGGCGCCATCGAAAGCACGGTTGTAGTAGTATTTTCAGCAACGTTGATGAGGGGGAGCAGCAAAGAAAATGAAAAAAAAAAAAAAAAGGAAGCAAGGAATACGTCAGACCGGTGTCCAGAGTGAGAATTGGGAGGGGGCTCGGCCGAATCACCCTTCTTTACCCGTTCGGCAGCCCACAAACCAGAGTAGCTGCGAGCAGAGCCCCTGCACTGAAATCAACCCCGTTGACGCAAGGCCGCTCGCCGCTCTTTTATTCAACGAGGAAGGATCAATGCGCCTCTACGTAGCCCGGCCACGTTTGTCGAGGGGGTATTGAACAGAAAATACGGAAGTTGTGAGGGTGAGAGAAGCGGGGGGTGAAATAGATGAACTTTCTTCTCATTCAACTGGACCACACCCACCTGACAAACCTCTTCCTCCAAGGGCCGAATCCAGCTGCGCATTGCGGAGCGGAGATGTGCCAAGCGTGCACTTGCACGGCACGACCAATACCTCCGCAATACCCGGAAGCACAGTAGGCCATGCGTTTCGGCAAAGCAGCTCGCAAGGCACAATTCTTTAACAAATGCAATGCAGTCCTCCATCTACGAGGGGGTGCATGAGATGGGTAGTACCACCTATCCTGGTATCGGTGTATGTGGCGGTATCCCGGTATCCACAGCACCTCAGTACCATCACCTCGTAGGTATCTGGGATGCTGAGGAGGTCGTAGCTGGTGGTATCCACCGCTGCACCATACTCGGGTGTGTACACACAACCCATCCATCCACTATGAGCCGGTCCGTCCCTATCTCTTGAAACTGCATCGAAGTGCCTGCCGCTGTTTATCACAGTGAATCACGGTCCACCACGGTCTATCAGGTCCATCCCTGGTCCCTAAAGCCGCATCGAATTGCCCGGTGCTGTATTCTTCGGTCTATCACGGTCTATCAAGAGGAGATGGACCGGCCCACACTAGCATGGTAGGGAAGGTGCATGGATGTGTGCACCGTACATCGCTGAGAGCACACGGCGTGCACAGGGCGAGCCTGATTCGCAGGCATTCGTCACGGCAGAAAAGATACCGGAGGTCACATGAAATGCTTGGCGGGAACGCCCGGTGCTATGCAATACAACTACAAGTTACCTCTCGTTGTTGAACGCGCTTACGCGCGGTATGAAATCCAGACTCGTGTGGGCCGCACCATATCTCTCCCCCTCTTGTGATTTTGCAACGGGCGGCCTCCTCGGGTATTTCGCACAAGGCAGGTGCCCATGAAGACGCCGGCGGACCACATGCCATGGTGGTCGATACCACCGCCTCGCTGTCGAGAAGCAGCTCGGGACCTCTGTAGTTGAGTGTGATGACGTCACGAGTCGAAGCCCGGGCAGGGGTTTCGACCGTTCGCGCCGTGCAGAAGCAGCATATGTTCTGCCGCCTGTCAGCCCCCAGGGGGGCAATGAACGCGCTGAACTCAGATAAACTCACAGATGCGCATGTGGGCCGCGCTATATTTTCTAAGGTATACTGTGGGAATCGGACATCAGAGCAGTACAGCATAGCCAGCAAACCAGGAGGAGGCGGCTGATGGATGATGGCGCCGGCGGACCACATGTCCATGGTGGTCGATACCACCGCCTCGCTGTCGAGGAGCAGCTCGGGACCTCTGTAATTGAGTATGATGCGCCCGTATATACAGGTGTGGAAGTGGTGCAGCCCACCGCGCCTTATTTCCTCTCGCTTTTTCATTTTTCGACGGGCGGCCTCCTCGGGTATTTCGCACGAAGCAGGCGCTTTGGCGAGTTGCCGAACTCTTCCCTCCGCCCCCTCCCTTCAAAACACGGCGCGCAGATGGGACCAGTGCGGTGTGGAGCACACAAGCACGTTTCTTACAATCCCTTCCACAGTCCAGCTACGGGGCATCAGGAGCCCCCGCCGGATCGAAGGAGCCGAAGTATGCGTCTTGCAGGGCCTCTTCGGCGGTCAGCCGGTCGTCGACGTCGTAGCACAGCAGCTGCGCGACGAGGTTCAACGCTTCCGCCGGCAGCCCTTTGACGGCCAGCTGCCTCTCGGGGAAGTTGGGCCACGGCTGGCCCTTGTAGTACGGCAGCTCGGTGATGCTCGACGCCGCCGGGAGGCCTAGCTGCCGGAAGATCGCCATGATCACCGCAACCTCGGTCGTGCCCTCGAAGAAGGGCCGCCCGACACTCAGCTCGGCGATGATGGCGCCGGCGGACCACATGTCCATGGTGGTCGATACCACCGCCTCGCTGTCGAGGAGCAGCTCGGGACCTCTGTAATTGAGTGTGATGACGTCACGAGTCGAAGCCCGGGCAGGGGTTTCGACCGTGCGCGCCATGCCGAAGTCGCAGATCTTCAGCCGCCCGCGGTTTTGCCCGAAAAGCAGCAGGTTCGCGGGCTTCAAGTCGCGGTGGGCGACCATGCGGGCGTGGCAGTGGTGCAGCCCAGCCAGCAGCTGCCGCGCGTAGCTCTTCTGCAAAGAGAGGGGCAGAGGGCCCTGGGCCGCGTGGAGCAGAGCGGTGAGGTCCTGCTCCCCGCGCTCGATGATCAAATAAACGCCGTGCATGTGGTGGTGCACTTCGTGCGACGCGACCACGTGGTCGTGGCCCCGCAGCAGGCGCAGCAGGGACACCTCGCGCAGGCTGCTCGGCTCGACGCTCCCGTTGTAGCACGGCATGATCTTCATCGCGAAAAGCTTCCCGGTCGGCGCGTGCCTCACCTCCACCACCTGCCCGTACACCCCGCAGCCCAGGTTCCGCAACGGCTTGTACTGGTTGAACACGGCGGGCAACGCCGGAAGGTCGTCGTCCATCGTCGCGGCTCGTGCTACAGGGGGGAAGGCGGGGAGAGGCGGGAAGGCAAGGGGGAAGCTGGATAGCGCACAGCCTGCCCTTTATTTATTCGTGTTTAATGTGTTGCCGACAATCAACCGGGGTTGATGTACGGTCGGTGGTTTCTTTCGCCGTTTCTTGCTATCCTTTCCTTTGGGTGGTTTTTTTTTTTTTCTTTTCTCTCCCCGGTACCAGCCTGGAGGGGGGGTGTTTGGTTTTACGGTTAAAGTCCGCTTGAGGTTTCGGGGGTTTCGGGTCTCCGTGTGACTGTTGGTAAATAGGGTCTCTTGCGGCAAGAAAGGGATTTATAATTGCGGGATGTTTCTTTGCGTATGATGGATAATGGCCAGCCATGTCCGGGATGTTTGTGTGTTTCTCGTGTGCTGCCGGGTTCCTTTCCCGCTGCTTTCATTGGAGGCAGCAGCTCGATCTGGCCGAGACCACTTCAGGACCACCGGTCAATCACGCCACTCGTTTTACAGTGGTCGCCAGTGGCCAGACAGACGGATCTGGCAGGCGAGCAGCGAGACCTCCCCTTTTATGCGTGCACGAGAGTACCGGGGAAAGCCTGCTACACGAAGGCCGAGCTTCACGTGTTGTAGGTACTTAATTGGCTACCGATTTCCCAAACTAGTGCATCAAGGCGTGGCGCACCTTGGGGCTTGGCGCTTGCGCTGAACACCTGAACAAAAGCTCGCAGAGACCGCCAGCCACAGGACAGAGCGGACGGGGTTGTGGCACTGTGCAGCCTTCGACTCAAGCTTCGCAAGCTGTGGTTGCCCGAAGTTAGAGCGGCCTCTTTCTTGATATGAAAATGCTAATCCTGCAGGGAATCGTTGACCAGACCCTCTTGAGTTTGTGCTAGCCACGATTTGGGAGTCGGGGGAACCCCTGACGTAGCCTAAAGCAAGACCGCCAACTCCTTCTCAACACGAAGCGGTGCTTGAAGTTGCATTCGTGGCGAGCCAGCGGCAAACACCACCATTGCGCAGGGACACCTGCCGCATTTTCGTCGTATGTGCAACTCGGGGCAGTTGCAATCGTTGCCGGCGGCTATTGAATTCGATATGGGTGACCTGTCTCCTCACGGAGACGCTTCTGATTAGTCTGTTTGTGATTGATAGTACGTGAATATGATCGTTAGGCCAATCTTCTCCCAAATACGCTGCAGTGTCGGCAGAGGGTGCAGTGGTCGGAGCAAGCTTGTACGTGGCGAGGTCGGTGCCGCACAAATGAGTTGGTCGATGTACTTCAGCGCATTGTTACTACGAAAAAAAAACAAAAAGGAACGCGGGATGAAACACTCAGGAATTCTCTAAAAACCACCCGTGGGGAAAAGGAGCGGGGGGCGGGCGTCTAACCCTAAAGAGTCGGGTTTCTAAGCCGGCAGAAAATCGCCGCAGAAAAGCAGAGAGAGAGAGGGGGAAGAAGGATCTACGATGGCCACCGCAGCCACCTGTGCCGCGCCAGACACGTTCTTCCGAAGTAGGGCCACGTCCCCTTTTATGGTCGGGATACTTTGTCAGAAGAAAGGTGCCAACAGACACGTTATTCCAGCGTGTCTTGTCCGCCTTGAGAGGCGTCTGGGAATACATTCCGTTGTAAGGTGCCACAAAAATTGTCTTCGTCGCGCATGACACGTTGTTCCGAAGTAGAGTCTCGTACCCCTTCCTTCGTGATGTTGCAGCCGACAAGGGTTGCACCACGACGAAAGCGCGGAAAAAGTGACCCTTCTGGAGTCACGTAGCGAAAAGCTAGCACAGTGTGGTACTCATTTGCATGCAAATGACTCCCCAATAACGCAATGAAGTCATCCGAGTGTCCGACGAAGCCCTTGTCAATACCACCCAACGACTGCGACGCGCGTGCGAAATGTCGGACGCTAGCGTCTGTCAAGAGCATGCGTGACTCGGCCGTGTTTTTAAAGGTGAGATGAGAGGCATCGGCTCACTCTGTCAAAGGGCCATCCCACGAACGCAACAAGAAAACGGAAGAGAGAGAGAGAGACGAGTTAGAGTGCAGGGACCATCTCTCCGAGGAGTATCCGGTCGCCCCACTACTGTAAAAACACCCGAGGTGGGACTCGAACCCACAACCGCTTGATTCGTAGTCAAGCGCTCTCGCCATTGAGCCACTCGGGCGATGTTCGGGGACATTTCGTGCCAAAAGACACGTTATTCCAAAGCAACGTGTCTTGTCCGCCTTTTTGAGGCGTTCGGGAAACACTTCGTTGGACGGTGCCACGAGATACGGCCGTTGCCGCAAGACACGGCATGCCGAATCCCATTCGAATGTGCGGGCATGCGTTCCGTCGCCCCCCAAAAACGTCCTTATGCGCGATGACAGGCCCCGCGCGGTGTGCAGCGTGTCTGCAACTGTTCACGACAAGCGCGGGTGATCGGCTTAAGCGCGGCATTTTCTCCCAGGCCTTGCAGCCACAGGCCCGGCCCGGAGAGACAAAGCTGGCGGTATATAACATATGGCAGAACATGTGGAAAGACGTAACATTTCATCACTTGAAATGATACACGGAACAAACATGCGAGCACATGTTGTGTCACATGCTGGGTCGCATGTATATCTACACAACTTTCCAGAAAACAGTCGTGCGCGCACACTGTTCACGGCGACCTCGCCGCACGGGTAATCGGCTTGAACAAAGCAGCGCGGCATTCTGCCAGGTCTTGCAGCCACGGGCCGGCCTGGAGACACAGAGACAGCTGGTGACCCGTGCCCGTGGCGACAAGGCGAAGGAGTCGACGCCGGCGTCAGCGAAGAGAGCACCGACAGCGAGCCGTCGGTGACGTCCGTCACGCAGCACGAAAACATCGCTCGCAGCAGCGGACACCAGGGGATGGGGGTGCGGTACAGGCGGGGGACGACCGAGCCGCGGCTTTTTGACCGTGTTTTTGAGCACTTCGTGCACGTCGAGGATCAACGCGAGCTTCAAATCCGAGAACCGCAGCTGAAAGTTCTGCTCCACCGTCAGGGCGGCGGGGTGACCGAGCCGCGGGCGGGGTTTTTGACCGCGTTTTTGAGTACTCGATTGTCGCACGATGACACGCCATTCAGTTGCAAGGTGTCCCCCGTCCAGAAAATACGCGCACAATACAACACGTGGCATAGCACGTCAGGTCACATGCTATCAACACAACCTTCTAAGTCGTGCAGTCGTGCACGGCTGTTCACGGCGACCTCGCGCACGGGTGATCGGCTTGAACAAAGCAGCGCGGCATTCTGCCGAAGGGGGGGATGGGGATGCGGTACGGGCGCGGCTGCGACTGCTCCGTGCGGGATGACCGAGCCGCGGCCGGGTTTTTGACCGCGTTTCTTAGTACTACGATGACACGTCATTCAGTTGCAAGGTGTCAGCTGGTGACCGGTGCCCGTGGCGACAAGGCGAAGGAGTCGACGCGGGCGTCAGCGAAAAGAGCATCGACAGCGAGCCGTCGGTGACGTCCGTCACGCAGCACGACACATCGCCCAGCCGCGAGACAGCAGCAGCGGAAGGGGTGGATGCAACGGACACCATGGGATGGGGATGCGGTACGGGCGGGGCTGACTCCGGCTGCGGCGGCTTCGTGCGGGACGACCGAGCCGCGGCCGGGTTTTGACCGCGTTTCTGAGTACTAAGAAGACACGCTATTCAGTTGCAAGGTGTCCCCCGTCCAGAAAATACGCGCACAATACAACACGTGGCATAGCACGTCAGGTCACATGTTATCTACACGTGCAGTCGTGCACGGCGGTTCACGGCGACCTCGCCGCACGGGTGATCGGCTTGAACAAAGCAGCTCGGCATTCTGCCCCAGGTCTTGCAGCTGAAAGAACTGCTCCACCGTCGGTGCGGCGGGGTATCCGGCACGACCGAGCCGCGGCCGAGTATTTTACCGCGTTTTTGAGTACTCGATTGTCGCACGATGACACGCCATTCAGTTGCAAGGTGTCCCCCGTCCAGAAAAGACGCGCACAATACAACACGTGGCATAGCACGTCAGGTCACATGCTATCTACACAACCTTCTAAGTCGTGCAGTCGTGCACGGCTGTTCACGGCGACCTCGCCGCACGGGTGATCGGCTTGAACAAAGCAGCGCGGCATTCTGCCCCAGGTCTTGCAGCCACGGGCCGGCCTGGAGACACAGAGACAGCTGGTGACCGGTGCCCGTGGCGACAAGGCGAAGGAGTCGACGCGGGCGTCAGCGAAGAGAGCATCGACAGCGAGCCGTCGGTGACGTCCGTCACGCAGCACGACACGTCGCTCAGCCGCGAGACAGCAGCAGCGGAAGGGGTGGATGCAACGGACACCATGGGATGGGGATGCGGTACGGGCGGGGCTGGCTCCGGCTGCGGCGGCTTCGTGCGGGACGACCGAGCCGCGGCCGAGTTTTTGACCGCCGCGTTTTTGAGCACTTCGTGCACGTCGAGGATCAACGCGAGCTTCAAATCCGAGAACCGCGGCTGGAAGAACTGCTCCACCGTCAGGGCCGGGTATCTTCCGCCCGCGAGGGCCACGGCTCCCGGGGCCCGCTGCTCGTGGGCAAGCAGCTTCCAGAGCTGGCGGGTGAATGAACGGTCGTCGCTCTCCTTGACGAACCACGGGTACTTCGACAGAAACCGCGCGGTGGCCGCGGGAAAGGCATCGTCGAAGAGATAGCCTATGATGGCCAGGCACGCCCACGGCTCGCCTGAGGCGAGGGACTTGCTCTCGAGGAGGTCGAGGGCTCGGAACCCGCACGCAATGAGAGTCGTCTTCAGCTTCTCGAGCTTCAGCTGACCCGCGTGCGAGAGCATGTTGGATCAGATGGGTACCCCTCTCTCCCCCTCGCTCCTCCTCTCTGTGTGGATTTCAAGTGTTTCGCGGTTCTGCTACAGCTACGAGAAAAGGCAGGCGCTTCGTGTTGTTCGTGCGTGCCGGTTGATAATTTCTTCCCACTTTTACGTGCCCTGTGTCGCTGCCTACGTCTGTTTAACCTGCACTACACATTGAAGGGCAACCCGCAAGATTGTTACAAGCGAAACCGCGCGGTGGCCGCGGGAAACGCGTCGTCGAAGAGATAGCCTATGATGGCCAGGCACGCCCACGGCTCGCCTGAGGCGAGGGACTTGCTCTCGAGGAGGTCGAGGGCTCGGAACCTGCACGCAATGAGAGTCGTTCAGCTTCTCGAGCTTCAGCTGACCCGCGTGCGAGAGCATGTTGGATCAGATGGGTACCCCTCTCTCCCCCTCGCTCCTCCTCTCTGTGTGGATTTCAAGTGTTTCGCGGTTCTGCTACAGTTACGAGAAAAGACAGGCGCTTCGTGTTGTTCGTGCGTGCCGGTTGATATTTTCTTCCCACTTGTACGTGCCCTGTGTCGCTGCTTACGTCTGTTTAACCTGCACTACACATTGAAGGGCAACCCGCAAGATTGTTACATGCGAAACCGCGCGGTGGCCGCGAGAAACGCGTCGTCGAAGAGATAGCCTATGATGGCCAGGCACGCCCACGGCTCGCCTGAGGCGAGGGACTTGCTCTCGAGAAGGTCGAGGGCTCGGAACCCGCACGCAATGAGAGTCGTTCAGCTTCTCGAGCTTCAGCTGACCCGCGTGCGAGAGCATAGCATGTTGGATCAGATGGGTACCCCTCTCTCCCCCTCGCTCCTCCTCTCTGTGTGGATTTCAAGTGTTTCGCGGTTCTGCTACAGTTACGAGAAAAGACAGGCGCTTCGTGTTGTTCGTGCGTGCCGGTTGATATTTTCTTCCCACTTGTACGTGCCCTGTGTCGCTGCTTACGTCTGTTTAACCTGCACTACACATTGAAGGGCAACCCGCAAGATTGTTACAAGCGAAACCGCGCGGTGGCCGCGGGAAACGCGTCGTCGAAGAGATAGCCTATGATGGCCAGGCACACCCACGGCTCGCCCGAGGTGAGGGACTTGCTCTCAAGGAGGTCGAGGGCTCGGAACCCGCACGCAATCAGAGTCGTTTTCAGCTTCTCGAGCTTCAGCTGACCCGCGTCTCTCTGGGACCCTGGCTTTTCGGCGGGGTGTTTCCCGAAGGTTTCTGCAATCTACACCGATCTGGTCGGGATTTCCTGCATGTTTATAGGGTCCCCTGTGGGGGTCGGGTTTGTTTTGTGGCGGATTTTTTGCGGTCCCACAGAACTCGCTAACGGGACTGCACTGTGTGTGGGGGGGGTGATTTTTTCCTCATTTTTCGAGACTGGAGGTCCTATGAACATGCAATGTGAATAGCCTCTATTCGAGCCAACCCGGCTTTTCTTCATGAAAAAAGTGTATTGTTTTTGGAAAGAGCCGGGCAAGCTTTTTTTTTCCCTCGCAGAAGGTATGCGGGTGGCAGAGTGACCGGGCGCCGGCCTTCAGGCCGGTGAGTCCGGGTTCGAACCACGCCCATGACATTTTTCCGGTCGAAGATTGTTTTCGAGGTTTGTTGCGTTTCGGGGTCAAATGTGCCCGAAAATTGCGTTCTTGGCGGGTTTCTCAGTATTTCGCGGTATTTGGGTCACCCCGGGAAACGGAGTCGGGCGGCCGAGCTTGCCATCACAGGCCAAACTTGCTACGAGAACCGAACTTTGCTTCACCAGAACTCAGCTTCGTGCGAACTTTGCTTCGTCCGAACTCAGCTGCGCCCGTACCAGAATTTAGCATCGCCCGAACTTTGCTTCGCCAGAACTTAACTTCGCCCGAGCGTTGCTTCGCCCGAACTCAGTCCGCCCGAACTTTTGCTTCGCCGGGGGGCGGCGGGGGGGGCGCCCCCCACCCGGGTACCAGCGCCAAACTTTTCCCGCACTCGGTGGGTCGGGGGGGGTCCGGGGGGGGTGTCCCCCCGGGTACGAGCACCGACCTTGGCTTCACCCGGACTTTACACCCTGGCCGAACTTCGCTTCGTGCCCGAACTGTTTTTTAGTACCAGCGCAGCCTGAGCGCTTAGCAACGCCCGAACTAAGCATCACTCGAACTTAGCTTCACCAGCATTGCCCGAACTTAGCTTCGCCCGAACTTTACTGTTCCCCGAACTTTAACTGCTGCCTCCAGTCTCGCCACGCGCCGGCCTTAGCCGAGCGCACGTACTTCTTCTTCCAGAGCGGGTGAATAAACGATCTTCACGCAATCAGAGTCGTTTTCAGCTTCTCGAGCTTCAGC